AAGTGAATTTTAACCCAGGCAGGAGCGTGTGCCCAGGGATGCAGGGAGTCACCAGAGCCAGCCAGACAATAAACATGGAATGAACTTTCAAATGCATCTGCTTGGCTTTTCATGCCAAACTCCTTTCATGTCCCCCCACAAGGGACTTCTCGTGGCTCTCTCTTCCCCCAGAGAAGCATCCCAGCTGCAGACTTTTCCCGTTTACCAGGAGATCAAGCAGCCAGGCTCAGGGTGAGCACTGGGAACAGGCAGCTCCCCTAGTAGCAGAGAGCTTCCCCCACCCAAGGCACTCCCCAGAGTTGGCTGTGGTTTCTGCTGAGCTGCCTCCTCTTGCAGAGCTGTCCTGCACCAGCCCAATCCCTGCAGCCATCCCCAGCATCTCTCTGTTGGTCACAGGCTGGCGTGCTGACATGTGAACAACTCCTTTTAAAGAGCAGATACCCTCCGTTTCAAAGAGCAAAGTCCCTTGGGCAGCTGGGGAAAGCTGGCAGAGGACACAGACTGGGTTTGGTTTTGCTTTGCACTCCCTGTGGTGCTTCACACGAAGGAGACAGTGCCTTGAGATGGGGCCTGGGGACCAAGCTGGTGCCTTTGCATGTTAGAAACCATTTCCGTTAGAAAGCCTGACAAGCACTGTCTGTTCTGGTATTTGTGATCCCCACAGAGTTCTTTCTCTGCATTTCCCAATACTTTCTCTTCTTCCCTATTCATTCTGCAGATGGGCCCAGCCTCTCAGCTGGCTTTCTTCAAAGGAGGGCATTATGTTATGCCATCATTTATCTTACTGTTCTTTTCTCCAGAAAATTTCCATTATGATTGGAAAAAAAAAAAAAGTCTGACAGCCATCACCTCTGCTCTTAGCTGGACTTTGGTTGGTTACTGAGCTATTAATCATAGTTTAATTGTCTTTACTTGCTCTATCTAAGTAAAAAGATGGGTAAATCAATAGATATGGATAGATTAAAGGATGAAGGAGTGGGGAGCAATCTGGGGTGATTGCTGGCCCAAGTCAAGTTGGAAAGGGAGGGAAATTGCATTGAGCTGCACCAATTTACACCTTCCAAGATACTGACTTTCTGTGACCACGGAACATTTCTCACTACAGAACTCAGCTAAGTGTCTGCTGGGGTGCAGTTAAATGAAAATTCACAAGATGCAATTCAAGCAAAAGTTACAGATTGATGTCTCAGCTTCTGAGAGTCCAAAAAAGTGAACTTGAGCATATGTAACTTCGGAAACTAACCTAATCTTCCCCTCTTGCTGAGAAGATTCACATAGCAACAGTGAAAGGGGCTTTCTTCAATTTGCTTTATCCTGTGTGTATTTAAGATAACCCTTTTATTTCCAGAATTTCATTTAGCTACTCATACTACAAACATAAGGACAGATGGTCACCAGATCAAACTTAATCAGCATTCTGTATGCTGGATTTTGAGCTTAGAAATTCATCTGGTTCTAGTAAAGCACAGTCTGAAACCTGCCTGATGTTTAACTCAACCACAGAATTGTATTAAATTTCTAAGCCTCCCCATCCTCACAGGAGATTGAGATGGGAACCATCAGGCAGTTTTTAAAAGGGGTTGATTAGTAGTTTAATTATCAGAGATGTCTGCTCTATTGCTAGTGTCTCGCTGGAGAAGAGCCTTTTTAAGGGGAGGCTGAAGCCCAGTCTTACCCCTTTGTGTCCTCTTGGAATTCATGACAGGACTAAATCCAGCCCTGGAGTCAGAGGATGCAGTTTTGTTTACATCCCCTTGCACCACACTGAATTCAAGGTCTAGACCTTGGCAGTGCACCCTCGGTTAAGGCAATTTGAATTATTTTCCCATGGCTTCTTCTCATTCCTCCTTCCATCAGGCTCTTCCTTCTCTGCCTCTCTTTGCTGGTAGTCATTGGGCTGAGCTCCACGTGAGTATCCCCATGCCAAGGAGCTGATGTTACACAGGACAGGCAATGAGCTCCCCCAGGGAAGGGCTGTCAGGCTGCTCCATGCCCACGGTACCCAGGTACCTCAGAGGCCACAGCAAACCTCCTTTTCCCTAAGTGAAGTCAGGATTTGATGACCCTGTGTCCTTAAATCCTCTGTCCTTCAGGTGTGGTGACCTTTTTGCCCTCTCTGAAACCCCTCTGCTGTTTTATCCCTGGTGCCACAGCCTGTCAGAGGTGAGTGCACCCCTGCATCCGACTCTGCTGCCTTTATTTGCAGAACTGTGGCATGGGGCTGCCTGGCTGCAGCCCAAACCCCACTCCAAATGGCACAGAGGTGACAGCCATCTGTGTCTTTCTCACATTTGGTTTCATTGTTTTAGGATCAGATCCAGCCACTGCAACCTACAGTAACTCTAGACTTTTCAAAGCTTTCCGTAGAGCACGATCTGTGGTTACACTGTGGAGAAGCAAACCTGGAAAAAAACTTGTTGGACTGGCCTAGAGGTATTTTAGTTAGTGCAGAGGGCTGCCAGTGGTGAAACCAGCACTCCCAGAGCGTGAATGAATGGAGGGTGTTTCATTCTGTGCACGTTGGACAATCCACTCCTAACTGGGCATAATGGCTGCACTGGGCAGGTCACTCTCGAGATGTATTTCCATTGCCACATAATAAATATAAATAGTCCTTAGGAGGCACTCGTGGATGGAAGGCATCTAGTGGTTACTAAAGGTTATTCTGATGATGTATATTCAAACCGCTCCTGTTTGGCATTAATTAGCACAATGTTCTATTTTGCAATTTCCCAGCACAGACAGATCCAGATTCCTGCTAGGAATTGGAAATGGCATCATCCACCACCCACTCCTCCACCCAAACCAGACAGCACTGATACAATCCCTCCCTCCCATGAACACCCCCAACCCCATGGCAGGGACGTGCAGGGGCTTGCAGGATATAGGATTTTTTTGCATTACAAAACCTAGACATTCTTCCTAGGTTGGGATCTTCGTGAAGGTCTCTCCCATGGATCCCAAAAGCCCAGTGCCATTAGCTGGGGGCAGTCAGAAGCTCCAGGTTTGGCACGTGGACTGGGGTATTTCTGATGTCCAGGTTGAAGATTGCTGGCTGCAGGAAGGTGGTGCCCTCAGGAGCTCCAGCCCCTCAGGAACTAATGGTAGTTTGCAATTCACACACTCAGTTGAACTCTTCATGTCACAGCACTGGGAAAAACTGGTATAAACCATTCCCTTTTGTATTTCCCATTTCTCTGGGCTTGGTTGCTCCAAGCCTTCCTAATGCAAGTACTAAGACAAATGTGCAGGAGGCACTGTGGGAGCTGGATTCTGCCCTTGCCAAAGTGCAAGAGAGAAGGGAATGCTTGCACATTTTCTACCTATTTTATCTCTGTTGGGTGTCTGAAAAGGATTTTCTGCCATCCCCAAGCTGCAGGGATAATTAGATGCTGTACCAACCAAACTGCCAAAGGATGAAAACTTGTGTGTTTCAATATTGCATGGAACATGGCTTAAAATAGCTAAGCAGATCCTGTAATTAGGAAAGTACCAACTAACACTCATCCTCCTCTGCTGTAGGCATCCCACCTTTGGGATGTTCATCCCACCTCCGGGGTGTTCTGAGCTCCTTCCACTGGCCTGGCAGTGCTTTTTCCTCTTAGCTGCATCCTCAGTGCAAAGGGACTTTTTTGCTTCTTTCTCGTGCATGGTTCTATCTCATGTAAGGACCATCAGACTGAGCTCTGATGCTGGAGCTGATTCTTCTGCATTGTTCTGCTGATCTGTGACAGATGGGACAGTGTGAAGCACCCACAGGGTGCAGTTACAGTCCTGCAGCTGTGACCCCTTGTACCCACCGCTGGATTCTGTCCCCAGTGTCACCGTCCCTGTGGCACTGCAGCTCCACAGCAGCTCTGCCTTTGCCAGCACCACAGTCCCTGCACACCCTCCCAGTGCTGGACTTGGGAGCTTTCCCAAGCTCACATGCACCAGTTCATTTTGGGTTTTATGCCTCCAGCTTCCCTCCAGATAAATGGTTTTTTTTAACTCAGAAATACATTCGTTCCAAGTCGGATGCCAACTGCTCCCAGTGCCAAGAAGATGCAGTGCTCCTTCTGCTCGCTCTGTTTTCCTGTGAACTTTATCAGTTTTTCCTTGTTTCTCTGTGACCTTTGGAGCCCATTCAAAGTCATCTGCCTCTTGCTTTGATGTTGTTTCAGTCCAGTGCAGGTTGCCAGCTGATTTGCTGCCTGTTTTAACACATCGCCAGCAAATCACCACCTCTTCATATTGTTCAGTCAGTCATCAAATCCAGGCTTGCCAGCTCCTTTTGTTAATGGGCTAGGAGGGATTGTTACATCTAGCTGATGGGACCAGAAAGCTGCTTAATTACAGCTAACAAATCTTTAAAGCCTAATGTAGGACTTTTATGGCCAGTGAGGGGTCTGGCCTCTGTTGTGGACCCGAGGTCCACCTGGATGTTGGCTGTACCTCATCTTTCCCCTGGTTAGCCGGGCACTTCAGCTGCCACACGCGCTGGTTCTACTCCTGAAAATGTATCCCTGAAGTTGTTGCAAAGAGATTTGGCTTGTTCTGATTCTGGGATGGACAGAGTTTTAATTGTTGTGCCAAGTGGGACCTCCTGGGTGCTCTCCTACAGCTGATCCCAGTTACAGGCAGGGATCAGTGGGAGGTGAAGGAGCCCCATGGCTTGTAGCTGTGGTTATTCCTGCAATGCTGGCAAGAGCCAAGGTGGACATGGGAGCCCCCAGTGAGGTGCAGAGCCCACAGGCCAGGCTCAGCTCCAGCACCACACAGCCCACAAAGTGCTGCTGCTGTGCCTGGAAGGTTCCATGTTATCCAGGTATTCCTCAGGAGAGCTGTACTGAGGCCCATTTGTGGTGAAAGGCAGCAGTACTTTCTCTGTGTTTCTCTGCACATGGCTCTGTGTTCTGCACATCAAGCTCCAGGTATTTTGCTTGATGGTTCAACCTTGGTTAAAGACCAAGATTTCCTTTGTGGGCCAGGAGTAAAATCCATATTTCTCTCCAATACAGGGGACAATCAGAAGAGAAGGGGTAGCCAAGCTCTTCCAGGCACCATGGGCATCTCCCACAGCACCACTCAGGAGCTGAGGTACTGATTTATTTCTTGTGCACAGACGTGGTGTACGTAGCTTTAAACTATTCCAACTCCATTTCTGTGTGGGTCCCAGGCCCCTAAATAAGGGGGGATTTAGTGAGGATTGATCACTGATGAGATGTTACGTGGATGAGTTTACATAACGCAGTGGGTGCAGCATTTTCAAAGGTCGCTGCACACTTCTGCTCTTCCCTGAGGTTTAACTTTTCCTTTCCTCTGGGTCCATCCTGCGCTGTCCCGGTGCCCGTGTGCGACTGATCCTGACCCATTCCTGATCTATTCCCAATCCATTCCAGACCCATTCCCGAGCTATTCCCAATCTATTACAACCCACTCCCAAATAATTCCTGAACTATTCCAAATCCATTCCCAGCCTATTCCTGACCCATTCCTGAATAAATTCTGATCTATTCCCAACCCATTCCTGCATAATTCCCACTCTATTCCCGATGCATTCCAGACCCATTCCCAATCTATTCCTGACCCATTCCCAACCCATTCCCGAACAATTCCTGATCTATTCCAGACCCATTCCCAAATAATTCCCAATCCATTCTTGACCCATTCCTGAGTAATTCCTGAACTATTCCTGACCCATTCCTGAATAATTCCCAATCTATTCATGATCCTTTCCAGACCCGTTCCCGAATAATTCCCGATCTGTTCCCGACCCTTTCCCACCTTTGCCCGCAGCCCGCGCGGGGCAGGCGCTGTGCGCGGGCGGCGGGGGCCCTCTGCTGGCTGTGGGCGGAACTGCAGCGCTCGGGGGCGCGCTCGGGGATGGCAGCGGGGACGCGCTCGGGGATGTTGGTGACCTGAGCTGGCTTAACGAGGGACAATAAACCAGCTGTCAGAGCTGGAACCTCCCTCATGGACAAAGGTCTCTGTGCCTGCAGGTTCAGGGCAGGTGCAGGGTGCCCTTCTCCTCACTGGGCAGGGGAAGGAACCCCCAGTAGCTCCTGGTACAGCCCAGGTGAGGCCTGAGGCAGGGGCTGGAAGGGGACAGCAGCACAAGAGGGGCAGACTGGAGGTGTCCAAGGCACAGGGGCAGAACTGTTCACCAGCACAAAACACGTCTGGGGCAGCGCCTGCAGAAAGCGCCTGCAGAAAGAGCAGGGGCCAGACTCCAGCATACATTTGTTCCCCGTGTTTCTGAAATAATCCCTTGGAGATCAACGGGGTTTCACATTTTTCCCATCTGTTCTTAATCTGTTTGCCCGACAGATGCCAAACCACCATACCCCGCATAGAAAAACACAAAACAAAAAACAAAGCTTTCTATCTTCTCTGGTTTTATTCACAAACATTCCCCGGAGCCCGGCACTGCTCGTGCCCCAGGGACAGATCTGCTGTCAGCAGGGGCTCACAGGCGGCCCAGAGAGTCTGTTCAGGGCACAGACTGTCTCTGATGGAGCAGCTCTGTGTTTATGCAAACCCGATGACTCCAGTTGGTGATTATCAGCTGCTGGCATCCCTCTGCTGCCAAGAAACCTCTACCAACATCCCTGTGCTGCTGTTCCAGGCGCTGCAGATTTGTACAGCCTGAGGCAGTCCCAGCCTGGCAGGAGGTGGGCAGAGAGAAGGGAACTGCCTCGCTAAAGGTCACAGAGCAGAAGGAAAAGCAGCACCCTGAACCCTGCAGAGGCTCCAGACAATTTGTCGAGCAGCCACTCATGCCAGTGTTATCTCAGAGCCCATCCCGGCCAAATCTGTTGAGGATGTGAGCAACAGCATTTTAATGGTACCCATAAATAGTTTATTTAAGGCTGAGACTTGATGACTACAGCACTGTCGTTATCAGTGTCTGGAATAAACCATCTCTGATAATAAATAATCCAGGATAACTCCCAGCATCAAAACTTCTGTCCTAAGTTGCTCCCATTTCCATCCTATCAATCAGAAAGTCTGAGTGTTTGCAGCAGCTCATACAGTAAATTGACTTTAGCTTTCTTCTTTCCAAATACTGAAACCGGCTCTTTCCAGGGCACTGCCATGTAATTTACAGCTCTATCACCACCTCCTTAATAGCTGCCGTGTTCTTTGGAGTCCTTTGAAAGTGAACATAATAAAAAGATACGAGCTGAGACTGACCATGGGTTTCAAGTCTGCACGTTTCTACGTGCCTTTTTTTGGATTTTTTTCAGCAAGCTGATGGAAACCAATTCTGTATCTTTAAGGCAAGATGAAAAGATTTTAGAATTCCCCTGCCTAGTGAGAACAGAGAATTGGTACAGCTCTACAGCAGCCAAATGCCAGCACATCTCTACATCTCAACTTCACCATTAGTCTCAGCTAAAGAGATGGAAGGGAGAGATTTCCTCTTTGTGTATCATTTGCTTAATCAATCTGAAACACAGCCCTGCAGTCTGAAAACAGGTCTGAAGCAGTGACAGTTAAACAGCTGTGCAATTTGCCTGGTGCCCCAAGAACAGAATATTTAGATAAGGCTTGCCTGAGCAAAAAAAAAGGAAGGCTGGGAAAAGATTTAGCAGCTCTAAGAGGAGAGGGAAAATGGCACTGTCTTGGGCTGTTAGCATCACAGCAAGCCTGCTCTGCTCAGGCACTGCTTCTCACCAGCCCAAGACTGTGTTAATTTAATAATTGAAAACATCCTGTGCCTCCCCAGTTTGGCAAAGGTAGGATTTGGGGTGAAGGAGATCTCCTTTGCTTACCCTGCATGTTTTGCCAGTATCCCCCAACTCCCTGAAATGTCAAGAGAAAGATCAACAGAGTGAAATGTAATCTCAAAGAGAAACACGATATTTTTTTAAAATGTCCTCACAGCGGCAATCATAATAAAAATACAAACCTGAGGTTTGTAAAAATCTAGCAGTAAAACCACAGACATCTTTACAACTCCCAGATACCCAAAGCTCCCCGGCAGCAAGAAAGAAAAAACCCTCCCAGACACAAGGAGCAAAATCCTAACTGGAGATCAGGCCTAATCGTTTTACAGCCCAAAAGAAAAAAAAAAAAAAAAAAAAAAAAAAAAAAAAAAAAAAGCCACACATGACACCAATTCGCAGGTCATTACCAGCCACCATCAGGGAAGATAAAATAAACTCCCTTCGTTTTCCCTTGCCTAGAGACCACGGAGCAGCTGAGTTGTGGGGAGGTGGAATGCTGTGCTTACAGGCACTACGTGGTTTGGGTTTATAAGGCGAGCTCAGATCTTTGTGCTGTTTCCTGGTCATTAAAGACCTTTTTAAAAGACAGATTATAGGCATCTGTGCTTCCTGAGCTAACACTGAGCATATTCTGTTCCACAGGAATGGAGATCATCTCTCTTAAAATGTGAGGCAGGCCCTCAGGCAATGTAGCTCAGCTTCCCAGTGTGCTCTGGCAGGTTATTTAATATTTCCTTGCCTTGAATCTCAGCAAAAGGAATCCTATAGGAATATAGGAGATATATATAGGAATATATATATAGGAATCCTATATTTAGGTATTTTCCACCTAATATTCCTTTGTATTCCACCTTAATACTCCTATGATTTCTCCCAGTCTTTGCCCAGCCAGATTGAAAGCTCTCTTCCCATGGGCACTGCTTATTTTGAGGAAGTGGTGGAGGGCTGTGCAAGGTGACCAGACTCAGCAATGATGGGAAATTATTCAGAGGGGGGGAAAATTCAGTGGCCAGGTTTAAAAAATCCCGAGTAAACAGCCTCAGCCTAGTACTGTACAACTGTATGTCCAGCTGTCAAGTCACATTGCAGTGGGTGTCTTGATGCTGATAATTTAATGATTCTTTGGCCCAGGGGTGCATCTCCCACTGGGAATCTGCTTCTCCAGAGTGGTTTTGTCACTGAGCTGAGAGGCAGCAATCCTGGCTGGTGTGTAAATGTGTGTGACATTTGTCACTGACCTCAGAGGCAGCAATCCTGGCTGGTGTGTAAATGTGTGTGACATTTGTCACTGAGCTGAGAGGCAGCAATCCTGGCTGGTGTGTAAATGTGTGTGACATTTGTCACTGAGCTGAGAGGCAGCAATCCTGGCTGGTGTGTAAATGTGTGTGACATTTGTCACTGAGCTGAGAGGCAGCAATCCTGGCTGGTGTGTAAATGTGTGTGACATTTGTCACTGAGCTGAGGGGCAGCAATCCTGGCTCGTGTGTAAATGTGTGTGAGGAGCGTTAATGCACGGTAATGGCTACAGCACATCCAGGGGGGCTGACAGCACCGCGGTGTGTGTTTTGTTCCCTGCCAACACAGAGGTCACTGGTTTTTCCTGATGATCCTCGATAGAATACTGTAGGCAGAGGCTGAACATACACAGCTAAACCTGTCCCTGATTGCTTGCAGACTGCAGGCTGTATTTCTTTTTTTTTTTTTTTTTTTTTTTTTTTTTTTTTTTTTGGTGGGGGGGGGAACATTGTGAAAGTCTTAAAATGTGGATTTCACAGATTTTCTTTCACCCGAGATAAAAAAATATATTCGTTCGGGTCCTCTTATTTCTAGGCTAGTTGCAACTCGTCCTTTTTCCTTTGTGGACTAATTGTCTAAGTTTAGCTGTCTAGTTGGAGAGCTTTTTGAAAGCTGTTCTGGGCCTTGATTACACCCTTCTGATTGGAATGAGAACACTTACTCCCCAGGTTATGAGAAAGGCCCATGATATAATGGAAAGGTGGGAACTGCTTTTGCCCTTGTTTGTTCAGTCACAACATTCTGGCTAATGGCCATCTCATGAATTAATGCTGAAAAATAATGGATTTACTAAGAGTCTGGTTGGTAAAGTGGAGATAAGGAGCTGAGTGAGGGGCTGACGCCTCCTCCCAGCCAGCAATCGTAGCCATGTCTTAGAGCAGGTCAATTCACTTGCACATTTAATGGATGAGATAAGGGCAGCTTGCACTAAATGAGCTTTCTGGGCAATATATGATCCAAGGGATGCAAAGCCCTGCTGGCTGCCTGCTGCTGAGGGAGGCACAGCAAGGCAGCGCCAGAGCAAAGCTATTTGCAGATGATGCTGTCTCCTGCTAAAAACAACTGCTGGTGCTGTGGCTGTAAAGCCGTGACCCCCAGGCAATGCAGGCCAGTGGGGCACAGCTGGAACACAGCTGGGACACAGCTGGCCAGGCTCTGCTCAGCACCATTCCCTCTGGGAAGGGAGGCTGCAGCTGAGCTGCAGGAGGGATGTGTGTGCTGTGCCTCCCTCCATGCACAGCTCCCACCTTCTGCTCCTCCAGCCCCAGTGCCAGGCTGGATGAGGCGTCTCCTGCATCCTGACCTGCTTCCTCCTCCTCAGGAGGTGTCTGGGCATCAGGTGCAGCAGTTGCCATCAGATGTTCCTTGTTCTGCAGCAGTTTCCTCTGGTACCAGGAGCCCTCTAGCCCAAGGGTTGTGCAAACAAAGGAGAAACAACAGCTAAAACCAGTCTCTGCCTTAAGGAGCTGACAGCATCGCCCTTATTCCTCCCAGCTTCTGTAAATAAACCCTTGGTAATGGCCCTGTTTTTTGGAGGACGATAAAAGGACCTGTCATCACTCCCTGCACAGACTTTTCCTGCCATTCACTGAGCTTTCCACTCCCTCTCCCACGCAGGGAGAAGTTTGTTAAAAATTAATTCTCATCTGATGACTGCTAATTATCTTAGAGGCTGTTGGTAAAGTGCAGCAAAGGGACCAAAGACAGCGCTCAGGAAGAGCCCTGTGGGAGGAATGCTGGCTTGGATGGTGCCACTGAGCAGGGTCAGGCAGAGGGGATTTTAACTGATGCTCCTCCAGTAGGATGTCTGGCAGCAGAGGTACAAAATAAGATTGTTAGAGGTCTCTCTACACACACTTACATATATGTGGTTCTGATTTTTAAAAAAATCTTCCCCTTTGAGATGGGGAGGGATCACATCACCCACCAGATTTCAATATTTTGGTTGAGTTTCATCCTGGAACTGTTCCCTTCCCGCTCTGGGAAGGGAAACTGTTCCCCTTGCCCTCCCTCTGCCCTGGGCAGGGAACTCATGCCCCAGCCTGTGAGCCCCTGCCCTGCCAGGGGACAGCCAGAGGGACAGCCCCTGCTGCTCCCCTTCCCCACAGGGTGAATGGGAAGCTAATCCCGGATTCTCATCTCAGCCACGCTGATCTAATTAATAGTAACTCTTTTGGCTTTACAGGGTGGAGGGTGCCTGGATTTAGATCTGCATTACTGGAATCAAAACCAGGCCAGCTGTGCTTGTTGATGTTAGAGATGCACAGCAAAGAGAAACAACATCCATGTGCAGCACACAAGAGAGGCGACTAAACCTCCCCTCTCCCTGTAACCTCTGCTGTTTAAAAAACAAAGCAAGCAAAAGAAAAATCAGGAGAGAGGCACCTGAAAAGCAGAGAGACAGCAAGAAGCTTTACAGACCACTGCACATCAGGACAGAGCTTTTGTGATCTCTGATTTTGGGGGACCACAAACATTGTGACATTTTACTGCAAAGTGCTCATATCTGAGAGCCTGGTGTTTGCACTTTGATGGATTGGGGATTTGAATTTCTGGCTATCTCCAAAGTTCAGGGCTTGCAATGGGGGTCAGAACTTCCTCCAGTTGTAGTAACTGTATTACACTGCACGCCCCTCTTCAGGATTGTTAAAGAATTTTGCAGATATTAATGACACATCATTTTCATGCTCACATTCCATTTTGAAGATGAAGAAACTGGGACAGCTCAGTGCTGCTCACCTGGCAAGGGGCAGAGCAACCTTTCAAGGGGTGACAAATTGGGGTGACAAATTGCAGGCTGAAACTTCTGAGAACTGAAAATTTCAGAGAAACCAGGGGCACATGGAAAAAAAATGCTCGGGGACTATTTCAGTTTATTTCTGAATGAATGTATTTTTATCTCTTGGTTTCCAACAGGTTTTCCTTACATGGAGTACAGGTACATCTTAAGGCCTGTTAATAAAACAGCCTTCTTTGGAACAACACAGATGGGGGTTTCCCTTCATTTGTGTTCAGTTATTAGGGATCCACATTGAATTTAACATCCTTCTGTCTTTCCTGCCAGGATGAGTCAGATGGCAAATGCATTTCTCTTTTGGCACAGGTTCTAACTGAATCATTTTCCCAGACTAGGTTGTCACCTAACGGGATCCTAAATTAAGAGCCCATGTTTTATATAAAAAGCTGGATGGATGAACTGGAAGAGCCTTCCTGCACTGCTGCAGGCAGAGCTAAATCTCCTCCTGCACCAGGCTCTTCACTTCTAAACACCCATTTAAAACTAGTCGTCCTTGGTTTTAGCTTTGGCTAAGGGCTAATGAATTTTCTTTAAAATGTTTCCCTCTAGGCTATGTTGTGCTTCCTTTTCCCTGGCTTCAGGAGCTGCAAGGTGCAAAGTACATCAAGATCCATCCTCTGTGTCCTCACACACAACAGAATCACCTTGAAGGTAGGTAGAGCCAGAGTCAGCAGCTTGCTGCTGAATTTGATTTTGGTGAAGGTGTGAAATACTTCCCTGTGCTGTGTATAGTGCATCTTTAGACTAAGAAAATTATCTCTCACTTCTAGAAACTTTATTGGCCTTTTCTATTGGTCGCTTTCCAAAGCCAAGTTTCTGTCTCTTAATTTTGAAGCCCCTTATAATGAAGTATTTTATTTCTATCACAGACATAGAAAAGACACTGCATCCATAAATGCTTGTGTGCATTTGCCAGAGACAGAATCACAGGCCAGTGACTGTGCCATGTGCCAAATCTTCAACACTGATTTGTAGAGAAAATGCAGAGAATGTCCAACCATGTAGGGCTGCACACCTAGAGCCTGCACTACTGGTGGGCAGCTGAAGGTCACATTTATTCAAATATTAATGCAGAAATGATAGTGTAGAGCAGGACAGGTTGCAGGAATTCCAACCCCACAGCTCTCCAGGGGTTCTGCTGCAGCTGAATTTGTTTCAGTGGGCTTGGGGGAAACTCACACACACGCGTGCCAATAGCACAAACACCCCCCAAACTCCAGGTAGGCTGTTTCCCACACATCCACACACGTGTTGCCATCATCATTTAGATCACACACCACAAATTCTGCTCACAGATGTGTTTCCACCCCCCTCATTCTTCACACCAACACACACGTGCACACACACTGCTCCCAACACACGGACACACCAGGTGCACCTCTGTCCTCACTTCAGCTGGGAGGGAGCTCAGTTCTTCACTGTGCTGTGTTCTGGATTTGGAACGGGAATGGTGTTGATAACACACTCTTTTGGTATTTCTTAAGCTCTGTTTACCCTAAGTCAAGGACTCTGTTTTTTTTTTTCTTTTTTGTGTATCATGCTTTGCCAGTGAGGAGGTATGCAAAAGAAACTGGGAGGAGGCAAAGCTGGCACAGGACCTGAACTGGCCAAAGGGATATTCCACAGCATAGAACATAATGCCCAGTGGCATAACCGGGGGAGTCCCACCGGGGGCTGGTCTGGGTTTGGGGAGGGGCAGTCTGACATCAGTCAGCTGGAGGTGAGCAATTCCATTGTGCAACGTTTGTTTTGGGTGTTTCACCTTTCCCTTTTTATCATCATTATTATCCCTATTATCCTATTTCACTTTATTTTCAATTCCTGTACTGTTCTTACCTAAACCTACAAGCTTTACTTTTCATTCCCCTCCCCATTCCACCGCGGGGTGGGGGGGGAGTTGCGTGGGGCTTCATTTCCAGCTGGGCTTAAACCAGGACAGCCTCTCCCGGGAATGCGCATCCCACATTCCCACAGATCTGGTGCCCTTCCCAGGTGCGCGCTCCCGTGCGCGCTCCCGTGCGGGGCGGGGCCGCGCACAGCCCCCGTTACCACAGCGACGGGCCCGGTGCCGCAGCCGCACCTGCGCCTGCGCCGCCGCCCCCGGTGCCGGTGCCGCCGCCGCTCCGTGCCGGCCCCGCGGGGCTCCGCGCTGCTTCGGGCGGGCCGAGCGGCGGACCCGGCCGCGGCCGAGCTCAGGTGAGGGGCCGGGCGTGGCGGGGGCTGCGGCATCGCGACCCCCGGGGCCGGGTGGGGAACGGGGTGGCGGCATCGCCGCCGGGGCCTTTTTCCGCCTCACGCGAATCCACCGCCCTGCCCAGGGACCCTCCCGTGGGGGCGGGCGGGGCTGTGGGGGCGCCCCGCGGCCACGGAGCTGCGGCGGGTGGGGGAGCCGCGCTTGGCTGGGCGGAGATCGCCTGGCGGGGGGGCGCGATCGGCCTCGTGAGGGGCGGCCGGAGCCCCCCGAGAGCCGGTCACAGTCCCCCGAGGGCCGGAGCCCCCCGAGAGCCGGTCACAGCCCCCCTGAGGGCCGGTCACAGCCCCCTGAGGGCCGGCCGGAGCTCCCCGAGAGCCGGTCACAGCCCCCCCGAGGGCCGGTCACAGCCCCCCGTGAGAGCCGGTCACAGCCCCCCGAGGGCCGGTCACAGCCCCCCGGGCGCGGGCGGCAGTTTTGGGGCAGGGCGGCTCCGGGCCGGGCGCTGCCGCTGGCCCAAAGCGCTTCCTGAGGGCGTCCTGCGCCCTGTTGTGGTCCCTGGACCAGCACAGGGGGTGAAGGGACTGCCCTACATCTCGCTGTACGCCCCTTGTCTTTCTGTTCGTGCCTGTTCGGGGGAAAGGCCGTGTCGGTATTTCTGTTTGGAATGTGCCCCAGAGCAGGAGAGCGGCCGCCCATCGCCTCCCGCTGCCCCGCCCGCACCCACCGGGGACAGGTTTTACCCCGCATCCTTCGCCGGCGCCTTTTGCATCGGCACCTTTCCACTTTGCAATGTGACAACAGTGTCGTTGTCACGATTAACACAGGGCCTGCAAAGGGCTGGACGGGTGGATTGTGTGTATTTTGGAGTAGGTAAGGAATAATCTTCGTTTGAGAGGAGGAGGTTTTTCCTTTGGAGGAGAACACCTGTCGTCTGTGGATCTGGCGGCAGAGAAGTGCAGGGCGTCTTCAGACATGGAGATGCTTCCAGACGCAGTTTCCCTACGCAGGACATGGGGTGGGACAGCAGGAAGGAAGGAGGGGCCCTTCCCACCCTGGGCGGCAGCAGAATGCACCTGAGCCCACCTTAGTAAATTGGGCAAAGCTGAGACACTGAGGGTAAATGTGAACGCAGAAGCTGAGGTAGCCCTGGGGGTGGAATTGTCTATTTTGATCTGCATTGCAGGTGCATAGGAAGCATCCAGGGTACTTGTTGGCTTTACTTAGATGCTTACACTTAAAAAGCTGTATTGAGCTTTTGCAATATCAATTATACTCCTTAATTAAAAAATAAAAGACAAATGGATGTGACTGTAAATACAGTGCCTTTTCCCATATAATTTGCTCATTAGTGAATGCAATTCTGTAGTGCATTATTATGACTGAGCCTCTGGGAGACTGACATTTATGCTTTTAAACTGCACATTGCTTTTTGGTTTGACAATTTAAAGGCAGTGCTTTATACACAGATAATGGCTGACTTGTAATATTGTTGGTTTTTCAAGTTCTTGGTTGTACTGAGGCTCTAGCAGTCATTTTCAGTAAAACAAAGACAGGAAGGTCATAATAGAGGAAAGTGCCAGCTGCTTAAGTGGAAAGAAAGAATATTGGCTAAACTGATGCTAAGCACTTGTTTTCATCCTCTTGTACTTCTGTTTAATATATCTGTAAAGTTTCCTCCCTCATCTTAGAAAAACAAAAGTGTCATGACCAATCCAGATACTCTAAGTAGTTTCCAGTCCAGTAGTTCTTGCAAACCGTAGAGCAGCAGTAATTTAATTTCTTACCATTGTTTCCTTTACATCAGATTTCAGACACAGCTGCATATTTTCAGTGCTTTAAAATGTGTTTTGTTACACGAATCCCACTGTTCCTTAGCATGCCCTACTTCAAGAGGCTGTAAGTGTTAAGGGCAATATATTTGTTCATCCAGACCTGCCACATTATTCAGTCTTTTTACTGCAGGAGGCAGAACACAAGCTGTTCTGTGCTGTTACAGCAGAATGTGGATCGTAATGTAAAGTAAAATAAAATACTTATTCAACATTGTAAACAGCATAATAGAGGGAGGACAGTTGTAATTTTTAGGCATCTCATTTCTGTTCTGTGACTTAAAAAATGGAGGTTTAAAGTAGCAAAACTACGAAGGAGTATTTTTGTATTGAGTAAAAAGATTACTGTTAATCATTTTATTCAAGTTCATGTTTAACTTCATTTTGCATAGTAAAGTTTAAACAAGGTAGCAAGTTGTTTATTTTATAGAGAGAACAAACATCTTCATCTTTCTGAAGATTTAAAATGCTGAAGATTTTTTTTGCTGACAAGTGATACTTTCTATGCATATTTATGTACATGTGTCTGTTAGTAACTAAAAATGATGGGTTTTGTTGGGTAGCACTTTATTGAAAATGCAGCAGTCAAGTTGAGGACGGGCAAAGTTGAGTGTGTGAAACTGCTTTTCCTTATTGCTGGTTTGGAAAGCACAGGCAGCAAAAGGAACATTTATGGATGTTGGTGCTGCAGAAGGACAGGTGCCCGGCACAGGGGGACACGAGTGTTGGTCTATCTCCATGTGAGCAGTGAAGAATTTTGTTTAATTTTGCCATTATCTAACAGCTCATTTCTCCTGGTGATGTTAAAGACTATGGTACTATGAATAGAAACAATAAATTTATTTACTACTAGACATTAGAGGCATGACAAAATATTGCTGAAACTGATGTTTTCAGAATGTTTTGGAAGTTCTGCAAGCTGTTTGTTCGAGTGCTTTTAAATAATCATTGAAAAAAGGCTTTTCTTTGGATTGTGATTTTTTCCTGCTATTGGGGAGCATGTTTGTTCTCATTATACTCCAAGGAAACCTTTGGTTTGTATTTAAAAATATTGAAATACATTGCTGCTTGTTGGTTTTAATTATTTGACTGAGAGAGTTGGGGTTTAAAATCAGTGTTATTTAAAAACAGGGCTGGACTGACTGAAAACTGTTAAATGTCATGGCTTCTCTGTGAACAGAATGGTAGCTGTCTCCGGAAAGGCTGTAAATATGCCAGGGAACAGTAGCTCCCTGTAATCCGAGTCGGTGCCCGGAGGGAGGGCACAAAAGGCACGGCAGATCGCCTTTCTGTGGAGCAGAGGTGTCGAGCTCGGGAAGAGTCCATCTGTGAGGAAAAGCCTTGGGAATGATGTCAGAACCAGCAGGTTCCCTCTGTGACAGAAGTGTGCCTGCTTGTTTCCTTTCCAGCCTCAGGAGAGCTTGGTTTAAGCTGTGTGGCTTTATTTGAGCTACCTGGGTTATGTAAGGGAGGGTATAAAGCATCTCTCTTTAGGATCCTTTGTCTTGGCATCCTATTTAACACCAAAAAAATGTTGCTTAAGGAAGGATTTGGACATAGGTCATCACCACTACCAGATTTCCTTCATCAGCAGCTCTCAAAACCTTTAGCAAAGTGGGGACTAATTTTTGTCTGTTTGATCGTAGTTGCTGTTCTAAAATAATAAAAATCGATGCCTTATGAAACAGCAGCACAGAATGCATTAGAGAGAAGCATCTCCCCAGCCTGTTACACTTGCCTAGAAATAGTTGTGCAGTTCTGTAGAGTTGCTTTAGAATAGCTGCACTCTGTAAATGATCTCTCAGGACAGATTTAGCTTGCTGTAAGGCTTCAGTGCCTTCTGCCATGTTTCAAAAATATTCCTGGTAACCTCTGAAAATTGTGATTTCTGCAGTTCATGCAGTAGGAGCTCGAGCTCAGGCGAGTGCCTGGAGCTGGCGCTGCTGCAGGAAGCAGTTCTGCCTGTACCACCCCCCTGACCTGCTTACGGATTCTATTTCTTATTTTTATTTTTTTCACCTTCCCCAGGCATCTACAGTGGTGCACAGTGAACCCACCACCTGAAAACAGCCAGTGGGAAAATGGGTTTGTTTTCTGCTGCACCAGTTCCCTGACCTGGTTCACTGAAAGACCGGGAAGGTGATTCTGGAGCATTTCAGGAATGCAGCACTAAATTCTTGCTCAGTGTATGTGAGTGGGATGGGTGAGACAAAGTCACGGCTGGGCTGGGTGGTGAAATGGTCACATGTCTGTGTGGTGATGGGTTTTTGTCGTGTTTGGGAGCAGGAAAAGGCCCAGCCAAGTTGGTTATGTGAAAGCAGCATAGTAATTCTTTTGGTTTGTGTTTCAGCAGGCTGCAGAAAGGGCAAATTTTTATATTGCAGAAATACATTTTCTTCAATTTCTGGTGGAATTCACACATTCTTTATCATAGAGGGCAATAAATTAAGAGAGGGCATGCAGTGTTCATAAGTGAGTATGTGATCTGTGAAAAAAGCCCATGACTATTCCATAGTATAATGTTATTTCTAAGCATGTCTTTGGAGTTATACTTAACAGATCCTTGTACCAAAACCACCCACAGCTTACCTTACTAATCTAAGTCCTGATTCAGCTTTAACTGAAGCTGGAGAACTTTCTTAATGACTTTGGAAAAAAATAGAATGAGTCTCAGGTTTATGTGTAACATTAATTGAATGTGTAACAGAATAGAATATTAATTTCCTTGTCATTCTTCTGACAAACGAAGTTGGTTTACTAGAAAGACTAACATGTCTTTGCAATATTGTGACTGCCTGGTTGTGATTGGGGTGCAGTTTGCATTCTGTGGCTTTGCTGGAGGTTATATTAAAATTACTACATGTTTTATCCTCAGAATGAAAGGCTGAATAAAATAGAAGAGCCATTCTTTAGGAGTGTGTGCTAGAGAGCCTGTTCTACATGAGATACAATCTTGCTTGTGAGGGCTTTTGTTGTCACTTCATCATTGTTAGAGGGGTTCTTTTGAAGTAGTCAGTGTCATTTAGGTAATGCTTTCTTTGTCTCTCTAAAGTGAATTAGGCTCAAATTAGGTAATTTTCCAAGCTTCCTGCCAGAGTAAGTTATTTGTTCCTGACAGCTGGGCAGCCATAGCTTTGCACACCCTGGTATTGGTCATAATAACTGTGTCTGTGTGAAAAGCCACTGCAGGACCATTTGGTTTGGTTCTGTAATAGTCTCTGTCACAGTAGTGACTTTAACATCTGATTCCTTTTAGTCTCTTCCCTTGTGACAGCTCTGGGGTTGGGTGGTCTCAAGGACAGAGAAAACACCGTGTGAACTATTCCTGTCAGTGCTCCTGATTCCAGGTAGACAGTCAGGCACTTAGGCAGTCAGTCTGTGCAAAAGTACCAGCTGGTTCCTTTGGAGCATCCAGAATTAAATCATTGCTGCCAGGGTGGTGTCCACTCAATTATTCTACCAGCTGCCTTAGGAGTAACAAAAAATCATCTTGGTACTAAAATGCTGAAATGTGTGCTTGCAGAACAGTTAGAGGTTAACTGTAGAGAGTTTACACAGCCTCTGATCACAAAATGGTGGGAAAATCAGGCAGAGAAACCACTGGGTAAAATAGCATCAAAAGCAGTAGAAATGGAAAGAGAGCTGAGAAAGCGAAATCATGTCCTTCCTCTGGGAGGACAGTGGCACAATTCCTTCTTCCCCTCCGTTGTCTCCGGGAAAGAACTACTAATTTTGCTTGGTTCAAAACATACAAACGAAAAGAAGATGAGAACGAGTTAGTGGGTCACTAATGATGTGTAAGCATTGTTATATTGTAATGCAGGCTGAGGATAGAGGTGGTGCTGCAAGAAGCACTCCTTACTGAAAAGGGAGCCTGGAGAAGGGGAGGGATGGCCCGAGGTGGATGTGTCGGCTGAGTGTGGTGTCTGAAAAGCTCGACTTCAGCAGCACTGGACTGGTTGAACTGACTCGGTCTGATGCACGGATGAATGAGGGGTGAGCAGAAATTTGGAACTGGAACAGTTTGTCACTGAGCTGTGTTACTGGTGGATCTGCCTCAGGAGAGGTGTAGTGGTGTGATAGAATCAGTTTATGGGGGTCTTAAAACAAATGTCTAACCAGGAGAGCAAAGCCCTTGAACTGGCTGTGGAGGCTGCAGGGTCTCCTTTGATATGTCCTTTGAAAGGAGCTGAGCAAACACTTTGGAGATGGCATTATGTCTCAGAGATGGAGAGCTGATCTAAGCAAAGAACAACAAAGTGGCTGTTGGTAATTCCAGCATTAGAGCTGTGTTTAGATAAGTTTGGTCAGTTCAGTGACAATCTTTAAAATGGGGTCTGGCTAAAACTTTGGAGGTTCTTACAAGAGGTATCCACTGTCCTTACTTAGTTCTTGAAATGGTGTTTTGTATAGCAAACAAATGACATTTTGGCAGCTTCTGTTACATTTTGATGGAGCACTGGCCAGTGAGCAGTCAAGAGGAAAATGTCTGCCCATACATATTTCAAGGCTGTGAGTTGGCAGGGAGCTAAAGCAGCTTCTCAGGTGATGGTCACCCCATCCACATAAAAGGATGTTATTGTGTTCTGTTAAGTGGGTACCAAACAGGAATGAAAATGTTAAATCATTGCTGTTTGGGCTTTGTTCCATCCTTTGGACTTGTGTCTAAGGTCAGAGATTAGCATCTCCCTCCTCCTATCTTGCAGCAGGGCATAGAGATGCTCTGATTTTGTGCAAAGGCTTCTGATACGCAGCCAGATGCTCATTGCCTTGAAACATTTTGAACTCCCTCCAAATGCTTAAGATCCAAAAAGGTCTGGAGTCTGCACATCCTCTGCAAGGCAAGATGTGGCTGTTAAAATGTTAGTGACTGTTTATGGTGAGTATGTGATTAAGTTGCATTTTAAAATCTCCTTTTTAATATTTTTGCCTCTTCCATATAAGATTTTGTGTGTGTGTTCCCTTTTGAAGAGAAAATGCACTTGTAAGGAGACAGAACTGTTCCTTTTTAAGGTGAGCTTACAGGAATGATAATTGAAGTTACCTTCTCTGCTTTACTGGAAGATGATGGCTTAGGTAGATGCAGTCATGATTAAAGTGTTGTACTTAACATTCCCAAGGGAATTCTGTTTGACTCATTCCATTTGCTCCTCCTTGGCTATATTCAAGAGAAATTGTGACTCCATCATTTGGAGGAGTTGAGGCTCAATATCTGAACTATATATAGAAACATTTGGTGTTGTGGTGGTGCTGAGAAATTAAATATTGTGGATGTTTGAAAGGTGGAATGCGTTGCACAATCCACACAACGCCTCTGTCACTGAAGGTGGGACACTCGGTGTTCAGGGCCAGTCCTGCTGCCAGAGAGGAGGTGTGTCACCCTCGCCATCATCCCTGCAGACTGCAGTGTCCCTTTGTGTTCTGTCATCCTTCCCAAATGCTGTGCACGTTCCCTGGGGACTTTGCCAAGCTCTGCATTGCACAGTTCTGTCTGTGTAAAAACATAGCAAATTTTTTTGTTGTTGTTTGGAGACAAAGGGGAAGGGGGAGAAACCATAGTGACATAACTTTGTGCTGTGTATGCAGTCACAGCTTTCTTCCCAGCACTGGTGTCATTTATCTGCCAGCATCCAGCCAGAGCCTGGGAGATTTGGGAGCTTGTCCCACCAATTTCCATGGTGGGAGGTGGAAATTGCTCTTCTGGGCTGTAAAGGGCACCATTGACTTCTGCATTTGCTGTTTCTCTTGTGGTTTTTGACCTTCTTGTTTCAGAGAGCCTGAGATGAAATCAGCTTAGTGCAATCCCAGGACAATGGGACATAGCAAATCTATGTCTCTGTATAGTGACTTGACTGTGCAAGCCGCTTTCCCTTTCCCTGGTTTGACAGTAGATGGCTTGGGCTGTTTCCCAGAGCACAGGGGGCAGACCTCGGTGCTGGCTGTGCCGTGTAAAAAGGCTTGAGTGGGTGGGTGGGTGGGTGGGTTTGGAACTGGATCTGCTGCCCACACATCCATGGAGGCTGTGGCTCCACCTCACTGGCCTTTGCTTTCCCTTGAAGGGGAGGGGACAGCAGACCAGGCTGCTGTGAGGGGGAGAAGCACGGGAAGGCTGCAGAGGGTTGTAGGACACTCCTTAGTGCAGAGGGGCTGCAGCTAAAGCTCATTGTGGGTTGATTTGATTGATTTCACTGATTAACTCACTGCTGCTGCAGGGAAGATGATGCTCTGGTGCTGGTAGTTCTTATTTTCTTCCTAAGCCTATAACCCTCGCTTGCCTCTGATTATATTTGTTTTTTTTCAGAGCAGGTAATCCTGGTGTGATCTTTCAAATGCAGAAGATCAAAGTGAAAAAGCAATTGAGGAGATTAATAGGGAGAGCCTTGTTCTGGGTGGTTTGTTTTTGGGTTTTTTTTGAGCATTTGGGAAACTGGTTTTTAATTAACATGTGTATTTGCAAGGACTGAGCTATGAACAGTTAACTGTCTGTTGCTGGTGATGAAATATTTTCCTATTCAGACAAGTATTTTCCTGTTCAGGTTATGGTTACAGGTGTAAAGCCACCATTAATACCCATTGTAAGAACAGAAGCTCTGGGCTATTGTGTGGAAGCTTTTCTTTCACCTACTTCTATGACATCTTAGGGTTTCTTTTGGAAAATACATTCCTCGATTAAGAATCCCTTCTGAGCCTCAGTGTCCTGCACAGTCAGAGCTCCAGCTGTGGCTTTATCCTGCTGTCATGCTCGGTCGATCAGAGCAGGATGAACACTGAAGGAATGGGATGATTCAGTAAAGCTCCTGTCTGTCTGATGTCAGCTTTGCAAGCCAAAGGGTGTCACTCTGAAAATGTATCACAGCTTAAATATCCTCCTCAGAATTAACAGTGCCCCACAGTAATTGCTGTGACTGTGTAGTGCCCCTTCCAACAGGCCTCCAACTCTGTGACTGCGAGGGACCACTAGTGTGGCAATGATGGGGTGGTACAAAATTTGTTTAACCACCCTGGAAATCTCTTTTTAGAATATATTTGGTCCATAATTTTTGCTTGTTTGCTAATGATGGCAATTGTAAAATGACCCATTTACTTGACTAAGCACAGTTGGCACCACTACCCACATTCCTGGGCACTGAACTTAATCCTTGATCTCTGTTACAAGGTAACCAGGCTGTTTGGCTCCTGCACAAAGTGGATTTCTTAACATCTTTCACACATCCATTTTATTAACAATCAAATATTTGTTTCTGTAGGGATAAGTTAGTAGAAGACAAAGTCAGTTCAAGAGCAGGCAGAGCTTCCCTTGTGCTGGTCCCAGTGCCCACATTTCAGTTTGGACACCCATGGCAGTGCCACCAGCCTGGCTTTGCTCAGACCCCTGCTTTGCCTTTTTCCTTAGAGCTGCTGCATTTTAGTGCTTTCTTCCTTGTTCTTGCCAAGGATTTTACCAATCCCTCTGTCCCTGGGGGTAAGTGGAAACCCCCAGCAAGATGGGCACAGTAGCCCATTCCTCAGAACTCTGCTTTTAACTTGTGACGGGATTAATGACTTAGACTGTCTGAAGTTAATCCTTTAAATATGTTAACTCCAAACAAATAAGTTCCCTGCTCCAGCCTACAGTATAATTAGGTTTTTTATGAACTTGGTGCACTTGTAATCGAAATAGTCCTAAAGCAGAAAAACCTTTTGTGGCAGCAAAACTGATCCTGGCTGCAGAGGAAGGATCCCTATATGTGCAAGGTAACTCACCGTCACAATTCCATGTCTGTTCCCTGGCAGGGTCAGGATGGCCACCTCAACTCTGGAGAACCAGCTGCAGAGTGCCCAGAAGAACCTGCTGTTCCTGCAGCGGGAGCACGCCAACACCCTGAAGGGGCTGCACGCGGAGCTGCGCCGCCTGCAGCAGCGCTGCACAGGTACCCTTTCCTTGGAGGGGCTGCTTCCCACTTCAGCACTGAGACTCAGCAGCAAAGCCCACCAGCAGGGTGGATTAGGGTCTGCAGTTTGTGTCTCGTGGCAAACTGGCTGATCAAAGCCAAGTTATTTTCATTTTTTCTTTAAAAAAGCTGATTGTTCAATTGTTTTACCTATTTGCTAATTTGCAGTGAATCTCCTATTCTTGCTTTGGGTAGTGGAAAGAGTTAATTCTGTATTTACTGAAAGCTGTCATTGTAAATCTGCTCACCAGGTGATGTATGAGCTCCATGATGATGTTCTAACTAAAATAAAAACTTTTTTTCCTCAGATTTAACCTATGAACTGACTGTAAAGAGTTCAGACTTGTCAGGTAAGGAATACTTTTTTTTTTTTTCATGTTCATGTTCAATTTACTAATTTTTTTTCAATGCTTGTATTTTCTTTTCTACTCTCCAGACTTACTTATTTATGAAGTAAATATCAAAAGTTCTTTCCTAAGGTCACACAGGAAATCTGTGAAAGAGCCAGGAATAGCACCTGGAACTGCTGACTCCACTAGACAGTCAATTCCTGCTTGCTATATGGGAACACAGGACACAAATTTTAGGGGCAGAAGAGTGAGACTATTTTTACAACTTAGCTGAGCTGGTGCTGTAATTAACCACAAATCTTTTATTTATATATATATATATATATATATGTATATATATGTCTATATGTGTGTGTGTCTGTTTGTGCACACTAGATCGTAGTTATTTTATATGTATTATGTTAACAACAGGTAAAGAGCAGGAATAAGATAATTCCCTGAGGTTAACCCCCTGGATCAGGGATAAAGTTAGCCTTTTGGATTCCTCTCAGGGGTGGCAAGAGGAGCCCTAGGGTACTGTTTTACATAATGGCTGTTGTTAATTTAAAACACTTCTGCTTCTCCTGTTCCTCTAGAAAGTGGTGGTTCAAGAAGTGATGAACTCAAAAGTAAGTGCAAAGATCTGGAAGCTCAGCTGAAAATCAAAGAAGCTGAAAACAGTGAATTGTTGAAAGAACTTGAACAAAAGAACGCGATGATCATGGTGCTGGAAAACACTATTAAAGAAAGGGAAAAGAAGTATTTGGAAGAGTTAAAAATGAAAAGCCATAAGCTCAACATGTTGTCCAGTGAACTGGAGCAGAGAGCGAGCACGATTGCGTATCTGACCTCGCAGCTGCACGCGGCCAAGAAGAAGCTGATGAATGCCAGCGGGACTTCGGAGGGGACCCCCTCTGGCAGCCCCGTGCTGTCCAGCTACAAACCGTCCCCTCCCAAGGACAAACTGCCGGAGACGCCGCGGCGCAGGATGAAGAAAAGTCTGTCCACGCCGCTGAACCCCGAGTTCGAAGAGGCCTACAGAATAGGGTCGGAGAGCCGGAAGCTGGTGCTGCGAGAGCCCGTGGATGCCATGCCCGATCCCACCCCCTTTCTGCTGGCCAGGGAAACAGCAGAGGTGCATCTGATCAAGGAGAGGCCGTTGGTCATTCCACCGATCCCTTCGGATCGCGCGCCCGGCGAGTCGCACAGCCCCGCCCGCGAGAAGCCGCACAAGGCGCACATCGGGGTGGCTCATCGCATCCACCACGCCGCGCCTGCCCAGCCGCAGGAGGTGGAGACCCTGGCAGTGGATCAGGTCCATGGAAACAAAGTGGTCAGAAAGCACCCGGGGACAGACAGAACTGTCTGAGAGCACCACAGCAGCGCTGTTCCGTGCTGGTTATGCACTGTGAGCCTGTAGGGTAAATAGCACCTGCGGTGAAGTTTCTTTTGATGCCCCATGCATGCCAAACTCCTCCCGGGTACATCATTAATACATTCTGCTCTAATGAAACCTCCTAGGACTGTGTTCATATGGCATATGGTATATAACCACTCCATGCTGTGGCCAAATCAGGGGGACCTGACCGCTTGCTTCCAAGTGTTGCTCCATTTAGTGTAACTGCACGTGTGGACCGAGGCGTGGGCTGTGTTGGTGAGCGCTCTTAGAGAGGACACCCCTCCCTCACACTGCAGCCACACGTGGTTGCTGGTGATGTTTGACCTGGCAGGGGTTCTCTTGTCTCCACTGTGTGTGTGAGCACTCCAGAGCCATCACTGACCTCTGCCACAGCCGCTCTCGCAGCAGCACTGAAGGTTGGGCACGTGTACGTTCACTTTAATGACCTAAGGATGTCCCCAGAGCCCCAGCAAGCACTACTTGATTAATCCTAAATACTTTGGTTTGTGGCTTTAAGTAAAATATGGGTGGGGAAAGCATCATTTTATGAGGGTTAACAACTCTCATAGGAAGAGTATGAACACTGGGTTGTTTGTGGGGATCGTTTTGGGTTTTTTTTAATCAAATAGCTTCACAACACATTTTATGCTAGTCAGTACACTGCACTTGTAGCACCTTCCATACTGGCTCCGAGCTCCTTTTCAGGGAGGAAATGTAACTGGGTATCCAATATGGAAATGGTTCTTTATGCTCTAACCTGCACTTTTTTTGTAAAGGGATTCTTTTTGTTTCCTAAAAACCTTATTCTTGTTCTGGGCATCATCAGACCAGTGCCGGCTGCTGCCAGCCTAGAAACCTGAGCTGCCCTTCTAAAATGTGAGTATTTAGTTGTAAGTGATGTAACTGATCCATACAGGAGAACCTGGCATCCTTGATTTCTGTCCTTGTGGATTGGGATGGACTTGCCTTGCACTTGACCAGATTCCCCTACTCCTTTCTAGTAAGTAGCAGGTAGACCCAACAGCTGTTAGACTACTTGATTCTTTTTTTTTTTTTTTTTTTTTTTTTTTTTTTTTTTTTTTTTTTTTCTAGGAAAGAAAGGCATACTAGGAGCTGGGAGGGTATGTAGTTTTGGGATAGGAGCACTAGTCCATTTTTCTTACATTCTGTTCACCTCTGCTTCACTCTTGTCTGCAGCCTTTAAGTAGGACCAGCAAGAAACACTGGCTCCCAAATGCTGCTAAGCTTATGATGTGCCTTTAAAAATTTGGAACGTGTATTCTCTGTGACAGCTGATGAAGGATCCCTGCCTGCCCCGTCCCCTCCCCTTGCCAGCTGTAGTTTGCCCCTTGTAAGCTTTTCCTGCAGCTGTGTTGGTGTGTGTCTCCCTGCAGGGCCAGGCCCTGGCAGGCTGGCAGAGCTGTTCTCCTGCCTGCGGTCCCGCTCGATTCCCGCAGCATGACCCTTCCAGCAGGGCTCACCCCGGGCAAGGCTCTGCCCTCCGTCACTCGCTGTCCCAAAGTCCCAGACCCGCCTCAGCCTCGCTGCCTCTGTGGTAGGAATGTGTTTCACAGGTGGTGGGGAGGGATCAGAAAGGGGTTGGTTAAAGTAAGGTTGTTACTCTGAGGTTTACTGTTTTTACGTGCTTTGCTTTAACCAGCAGCTGGTTTGGTTACTTTGGGTGTTGGCACCATATTTTTATGGTCATGTGCTGTATGAGTGACAAACCGTGCCACTGGTTGGAGGCTGGTGGGAGGCACCGCTTTCAGGCAGTACAGAAGTGATGCTTTGGGCAATTAAAGACATTTCTTACAACCA